AATCTGAGAATGGTGAAGGCAGGAGGAGGAAAAGCAAGTGAGCAGCTCTGTTCCTCTCTCAGTTTCTGCCATTCAGCAAAGGGGTTGGGAAAACCCACACATATCCCATATTTTCCTGTGGTCCCTATAGATGTTCTGTCATGACTCTGTTTCCCCAGTAGGTTTTTGAAAGATACATTGAAGTCAGGCTGTTTAGGAACTTTGACATGAACTCTCACTTCCAGGAACTTGCCCCAACCTCTTGCCCCAAATTTCTTTGTAAGGTACTTTAAGACATGCTCAGATAACCACTCCTGGGAGATTTAAACAAGGGCTTTCTTGGCAGGACTCTTAAAAAGACACCAGCTTGGACTGGAAACTTAAAGTGTTTCTCTGGAAGGCATAATTACAGCAAGAGGCACTGCTTGTTGCCATCTGGCTATCACTTGGGATGAGGTGTCTAAATGGATGTGTGAGCTTCTAAAGGGCCCCTGCTGAAATAATGTAAGGCACTCACGGTGCTGGTGAAATCACTTACTCCATAATTATCTGCTACTCTCTTCATCTGCTCAAAGTCTTCAGCTTGAGCCAACAAGTGCAGCCCCTCAGGATAGAGCTTGCCGCAGGTGGGGAAGAGGGTCTCCCTGTCTTCTTTGCTCAGTTCAGTGCCAAATGAGTTCAGGGTGATGATTAAAGCACGTCTGTCAGCCTCAAACTGAAAGAGAAAGACATGAAAGCAGCAATCTAATAATCTTTTACACCATATGCTACATGAAGAATTGCATATCTGAAGTGATCTACTTTTCATGTTTAATTACAATGTAGGTGTGTGCTACTAATGTCCTTTTAGTCTTCCATTGAAAGGGAGTAATTTGTTTGCTGGGGGAAGATTGCACAGCCCTGTGATGGCCTATGACTCTTGAAACCCTACCAAGCTTTACTTCCCAGGCTCCCTGCAGTGAGTTACTCCCATGTAGGTCACAAGAGTAAGAAAAAAGTGGTAATAATGCCACTCAATTGCAGCCATGGAGGGAATAAGGCAATGAAAGTAACAATATCTGCTAGGGTGTTTGGACAACAAAAATGTGCATCATTACATATTACTAATCCCTTCTAATTGCTCCTGTCGCTATTGTTGTTATTATTATTATTATTGTTTGTGATGCTGAGGATCCATTGTTAGTTCCTGTCAAGGAAACCAGACTGCTTCAGCCATGCAACCCACACACCCCATAAAAGTGTCTGTCAGTCACAGTTCTCTATTTTTGCTCTCTTGACTTTCTATGTCTGTCTGTCTGCCTGCCTCTGTCATGTCCCCACTCTGAGACAGTCTTTTGCTCTTTCACTCTCCTCATCCTTCCTCTCCCAATAAATCTCTTTAACTAACCCTGTTGCATATGGTGTGTTCTCTTAGTGGCATACCTTGGTGGGGATCATCAAAGGTACCCATTTCACAGCATTTTATTCTTTTATACAATCCAGGGCCTCATGCATGTCATACCAGCTCTACCATTGAGCCATATCCCTAGCCCTACTTATTTTATAGAATTAAACTTTATACTATAGACACTCTTTATTTTCATGGTTTTGGATTTTTAATGACCTACTATAATGCAAATTAATAAAAACCCAGAGATAGATATTGGGGTTGGAGCTGATGGTCAGAGAGGTAAAGCAGCCAGCCACTAGCTCTTACCTCTACCTCAGATTGAAAGAGCTGCCCCCTCCTCAAGGTGGCTAAAGACTAGATATCTTCACCAAATCTCAGATTGCAATCCTGTCTCTACCAAGCCTCATACTGCAATCCCACACTGTTGTCTCTTCCTTTTATACCTCTAAAATCCTGGGATTAAAGGCATGTGATCCCAAGTGCTGAGATTGCATTTGTGTGAGCTGTTTCTCTTTAGAACTGGTTAAATTTCATGTAGCTCTGTGTGGCTTTGGACTAACAGAGATCCATCTACTTGTCTCTTGAGTCCTGGGATTTAAGGTGTGTGCCACCATTGCCTGGCTGAATGACTTGTGTCTAGCTTTGCTTTCTGTACCCTTGGGCAAGCTTTAATAAATCACAAATGATATATCACTACAACGTAC